CATCAGTTATGAGGCTGCACTGTCCTCAAGTAGCAAAAAGAAACAATAGCCTCTATATAAGAAATAATGGCAGTCACTGTTACAGTAGCTCTTTACACAAATTAACTTCCATAACTTTTCCTATACTTTTTGAATCAAAATCCTTTTGTCTTTATATGACCTTAGAAACCCTAAAAATATTCATAACAAGCAATCGAGAAGAATGAAGGCTAGGAGTTAAAAACAAAGCTTTTGGCATTTTTCTATTGGATTTCCAGGATTGGATTTTGAAAGAAATTGCTGCAGTACAGCTTCCTAGGATTTCCATGATGCACATTAATCCTAATTATCAATTAAAATTTGAGACTAGAACTACAGTATGTGAGTGGTAATACCATTTTACCATTTAGTAAAAAAAATCCCACATAACAATTGAGCAGAAAATTGTCATTTTAACAAGTAAAACAACAAAATTTTGTTTTCAAGGGCCCTTGGTTTTAAAACTGCCATGCTTGACAAAGCAGAACTTTCTTTAGTGCACAAAAACATAATCAGGGAGCTGAAATACACTAATGCACTAAAAAAAGAATCGTGATTGGTGCATTCAAAATACATTTACCCAAGACTAGACAGTATTATTTGTTCCCTCAAAAACCATGTACATTATCTTATTTAGTAGATAGAAAGTCTAAGCGCAGTTAGCACTTATCTTTGCAGTCATCTACATCATGGCAAAATGTGAGATACAGGGAACAATGTACATGTATAAGAAAACAGCATGTTAGCTACTGTACACTCACCAGCATCTACTAGAAGATCAGCAAGAAATGGCTGTCCAACTTCCTTCAGTGCCTTGACAAAACTGTCAAATGCTTTCTCTCCTCTTCTAGGTAATACATCCAACAACTTTTCACATTGTCCCCATCGAGTAGCAATGGCTTTTATTTCCTCTTCATCTGTTGGTGTAAGAACGTCTGCCATATGATGTATAAGTTGTCTGGGTTCCATGTCTCTCGCAAGCTCCACCCTACGAATTCTTATAATATTCCTCTGTTTTTCATCCATAGGTTTGTCAGATGTTCGACTCTCTCTCCCAGAAGCCATTGTTTGCCCAGTTATGGTACTATTTCAAGAGTCTTTTCATATCCTTCTGGCAATAAAGAAAATTACATAAGATTATTTATGCTAGAACGAGACTCAGATCATGGTATATGTTACGCTGGGTTGAGTTACAAGAAATACATATATTAAGTTGAATTCATCAACACAATTAGAGCTGCAAGATATTTTTCTGGGTTCTCCTAACTGGGTTGAACCTCTGACCCTGATTTAACATTCTACATTACACCATTGAGCAACAAAAGACTAGGGATCAGAGCTAGGCCATCAACTAAGGTTTGTCACATTTAAACCCATAGTTTTTATCTAAATGTACACAATGTCTAGTCAAGCTCCAGTAAATCTCCTGTAACTCAATGGTAGTCAAGAGCATCATTCAAAAGTTAACTCCTGTCAGGAGAACACAGAAAGCCTTTTTCTGAGTAGCTTCTCAATGTTCAGAGGGTAATTCCATTTAATAAGCCAGGAAGTAAAAGAATCATTCAAACCGGGGAATTCTTTGAACCCTCAGTGATCTGACTAAATATCATTAACAACTTGACGTCAGTTTTTTATGCATCTGTCCTCTTATTGATGATAAATTACGTCATAACATTGTCAAAGTG